CTCACGCGAGCGCACGTGTGATTTCATTTTGACAGATGCCGCTTATCGTATCCAGGTGCAGGGTTATTTATAAATTTGTGAAGTTAAACAAAACGAGATCATATGATGATTTAAAATAAATTGCATATATAGTGCATACATATGTACATATATATGCCGGCTAAGTTTGTAAGAAAAATAGTTCTCTAATTTAATTGAGTTCCATAACAGAGTTTTAGAGCCAGCTAATGACAAATGAAATGCTTACCTCGTTATGTGTGAATTATACATAAACTTATTTGAGTAATATTTTAAAATATAAATCTCCTTATTCACGCATTTAAATAAATCAAAAATTGCGAACGCAATCTTTGAATTTAATCAAGTTAATAAACTGCATCATTTTTGCTGTCAGCCAATTTAATAAAAATCAACCACACACACGCACACACACACGTAGGCCCAAACACGTGCTTTAATGAAATTTATTTACCGCTTAATAGGTAAATAATAAAAATACATAAAGAATAATAAAAAGTGAACGCTTAAAAATCAGGAAATCACAAAATAAAATGAATTTTATTTTAACGCAGTGAAAATTGCAATTGACGTTGAGTAAATTAAATCACAATGCCAGCGTGGCATAAAAGCTTACATATGTATATGAATGTCGTCACGCACATATGTACTTTATACGAGTATATTTAACATATACGCATTTGTAAATATATAAAATCATTTAATTATGTTCATACATGTACACATATATGTGAACACTACTATACACCTATGTCGAGCAATTTCAGCATACGCACGTAGTTAATGGTAATTTCGCAACTGTCCGTTAGCTGCAGGTGTTGCCGTGATGAAAGTGTTGCTCACATAGCGTTGTTTGGCCGGCAGCAAACCACGAAATCAGGTGTCGATTGCCTTTACATGGCCAAAAGGGCGCAAAAAGGAACAAAAACAAATAATAACAAAAAACCGTAAGCGCATAATTGTTAGTGGTAACTAACTGCGGGCGATTGTGGGCGATTGTGTGCGTGTTTGTATATATTTGCTTGCACAAATGTATTTATGCGCTTCACTAACCTGGCCAACCGCACAAGCAAAAATTTTATTTTGTTGTGGTTACTCATACGCCCCAGGTGACCACTTGCTTGCCACTCGCACAGACAGGCAAACATTCGCTTCGCTAACTAAATGAGTTTTTTTTTGTTTGCTTTAATAATAAAAAGCGTGTTTATGGTTGGAAAAGTTTTATGCGTGCTGGTGTCATACGATATATGCACATCTGTACATACATATGTATATGCATTCAACCTACGAATGTATATTTTTATGTTGCGTATAAAAACCATTTTTGGTTGCGATTTCGCACACTCCATTATTACTATTTTGGACACCGCAAATATACAAAAACAATATGCCTGCGAGTATAAAAACGAATAACGAACTTAAAATATCATAAATCTTGTAAATAAGTAGTAAATAAATCGGAAACCAAAAACAACAAAATATGGGCCTGGCCGCACGACAGGAAATTTTGCAATTTCATATAAAAATAAATAAGCGTGGAAGGAAAAAGTATAAAAACCGTGATAAAACACGAGTAAAAGTTAAAATAAATAACAAGTAAAAAGGAAAATGCATAAAAAATGGGAAAATTGTTTCTAGAAAATAAGTAATAAGAAAACTAAGCGAACTAAGAAGGCAAACAGTTTTGCTTTGTCCACAATGTTTATAAGCTCGTTCAACAGACAATGCCATATTTTAGTCTCACTTTTATACGCCGCTGCTACGTCTGCTTCCCCCAAACAGGCTTTCAAATTAGTTTGGCTGCGCAAAATTTGCATTTTTCAAATTAACCTCAAACTAGAGTATTGGCGCACAGGCGGCAGCAACAACAAGGTCGCTTCAGGACTGTCCTAGTTGTTTGTCAAAGCGAAAAAACCAAAAATAGTAATAGAAATAATAGATGTGTATGTAATAAAGAAAACTCACTACAAAAACACTGCTGCCTTTCCGAAACTTTCCTGTGCATATGTGTATTCGTGTACGCGTATATATGTATATAATAAAAGAGACAAAAGTGAAAGCACGAAAAATTGTAGTATCCAAATTCTTAAATTTTTTCCGCAGACCGCAGACGTGTGCATAATTGAGATGAATGTATTTATGTAAGAGTAGTATGGCATTGGAATTTCTGAGAAAATACCTTAACATGCTTTAAGTTGTCAAACAAAATTCATTCCAAGACAATATTTCTGCTTATAAAATTTGTGGGCTTGTTGATGCTGATTATCTCCCTCTTTCTGTTTTAAATTAAAATTATTAATTACAACACATCTTACACCCTGTGTTGTTAAAATTAGTGAGCCACCCATAGTATGGACACTTACATCGTAGTGCAAACACGTTATTAGCTTTTCAAATTATCGATTAATCTACCATCATTTCGCTAGATCGATTTTGATAGGCAGCTTTTGGCTTTTTATTTATTTCTTCAGTTTATGTAGTTAGCAGCGCAACTACTTGCTACACCACCGAGTCGCGTGCAAAGCCGCAACCCAAATATTTTGTGCTCACTTAAAGCTTTATATACGTTTATATATTAAATCTATCATTCCACATACATACGATGCTCTCTTTGCAATATGCTGCGTGGGAAAATTCAAGGCATCTAGCACGTGTCTAAGTCGCTTGCGTGTTTGTGTATGCACGTATGAATAGTTGTACGTGTCTCAATTTATTGTACCAACCTTAAGGCGTGCGTGGTCATCAGCAGTAGCGATAGCTATAAGAGAAACTTCAGGAAGGGCAGAAAAGCAAATAAATTACTTGAAGGTGCAGATCGAATGCAGGAAAGAGAGAAAGAAGAGAGAGTTGCCGTATGTCATAGCTAGGATCAGCTTGTGTTGATTTTACTAACAGCATAAAATGTGATTTTTAGGTTAAGTACGGTCTCAAAAAAAAAAAAATGCTGGAAAATATTTAATAAGAAAGAAAAAGTTTCCCACACTGATTATTGGCAACTCTCTTTTCACTATACATTAACTATGGTGCATGTATGTAGAGCAAGCAATGACCCCAAACCAAGTTTTATATTACACAAATGCGTTGCATTAAAGTAAATAAATACGTGCACTCGTACTCGTATGTGCGTTTATATTTGTTTGCACAACTATTTAGCAAAACACGCATACAAGTATGTACATACATAGTGGTATATAGTATATTTGTACAAACAACACTCTCACGTTGATCCATTTGTGGACTTGCTCCACATTAAATCACAATCAGACACAGTTGTTGGCAGTGATTTTCCTCGCACTAAACACATACACACACACTTACACACTAAATCTAGGAAAAATATCCTCTAGCGGGCGAATTGCAAATCGGTTTTATCTGCCTGCTGTGAAATTCGTTGACTTTAAAAAATATATGGTAAATAAAGTTGTTTTGGTTGTTTTGCCCAATTCTATATACTTGAAAGAAAAAAAAATTATGCTGGAAGTCTTAAAATGTGCATTTGAAATAAACTTGTTTTTAGTTTTTTAACTTAACAATCAGTAATAAAAAACCGTTTGGACACACAAAAAAGGGATAACCGCGTTGGAAATAAATGTTTGTACACAAACGAGTGTGTGGGACAAGTGTCAGCGCATGTATTTATTCAGTTCACTGCTCATTATTGTTGGCTTATTTGCCCAACTCAAATGACTTTGTTATGTAAACTGTGAGATATTTTTCTTTTCTTTTCGGTCACCTAAGGTCAATGTGAGCATCTTATGTAAGCCTTTTAATGTTGACGGGCATTTAGTAACCTTTTAGGTTAGGTTATGCCGACTGTCATTTGTCAGAACAAGTGGCTTAACGTTTGCCCCATTGGCTTTGAAAAGGACTACAAATAGTTGCTGCTCCAAATTTGTGTGACCTTTTTTGTCTTTCTGTCCAGCTGCGCTACTATACATAAGCACTGGAAGTACATACTTGTGCATGTTTTTATGTCGCTTAATCTGTACAACGCATATTTTTTTATTTTTTTTATTTATGAAACTGTAAAGTAAAATGAAGTATATTCTATTGTTCGAATTCCTTTATGGTGAACAAATGGAGTTCATTGTTTTCTTTTTACGTACAGAAAGCCACCCGAGTGACCGCGTGGTTTTTCATTGTAAGCAATTTTGTCAAATGCTGAAATATTTTGGGCTTAATTCAGTTCGCCACTTCGCACTATTAGTTTTTGATCTTTTCCATTTTATTCTTTTTTATTGCTTTTCTTTTTCAACACTCACACTTTGTGTTCATAAGTCACAGCTGTGTTGCTTTAACCTAACGTCGTACTGTTGCAAGATGCGCGAGATAAATCGATAATTTTTTAATCGATTGTTCCTTTGGTTTTCAATTAAAAAGGCCGAAACTTTAATTTTTTGCATAAGATTTGAAATGTTTTATTGAATTATTTAAAGTAGATATTTATGATTAAATTTATTTTTGTATAGTAATATTAATTTTTATGCTCGCATATTATTATTTATATTATTTATGACAATTTTCTTGGCTTGGTTTTTTTTTTTTTTTTAAAGCTTAGCTGTTTCATAAAATTTTGCTTTTGAACTTTTAAAGAGAAATTTTTTATATTATATTTTTGTATGTTGCTGCATATATTTTATAGTAAATTGTTTCTTCCTTGTATTGTATTTTATGCGTACTTAGTGTTTTACTGTATTTTTAGGTCTAATAATTTTGTGTTAATTTCTTTAAATTGTTGAAAATATAACTAATACATTTTTTTGTTTTAAAGTTATGAAAGTGTTGGCAAAGAAATTTTTACCACTTTCGAAAGGCATATAATACTTGCGATATTTAAATAAAAAATTACAATATAGTGGTAATGATTTTGGAAATTTTTTTATTAAGATTTTCTTTTCTGCATAATAATTGTAATAGTAAAAATGTAAGTTTTCGAAAATAAATACATTTTATACATAAATATTAAATTTTTTAATTTATAAATTTTAGCCTATAGAGATTTTGTTTAGCTAATTAGTATTTGTTTAATTAAAAATTTATTAAATAATTTTCTACATTACGAAGTATGCAAATTTTGATTTTTGTCAACTTAATTTTAAATATGTATTCTTACTTACAATATTGCATTTCTAAGTTAAAATGTTTCATTTAAGTATGTACGAGTATGCAGCTATTTTGATTATTTAATTTGAATTAGGATAATTTTTGTTTAATGTGTTGTCAACTCGACAAAACTACAAGTTTTTGAGAAGCAAAATAATTTTTCTGTAAAATTTGCTTATTTGCAATTTTATTATCATACATTTTTATTACCTTTGTATTTTCGTTAATCTTCTTCGTTTTTAGCTGCCAAATTGCTGCTGGGTTCGTTCAATCATAAGTCATCGAGACGACCGATTTTGGTGTTGGCAAAGGTGAAGTAGTATTTTCCTCCTCAATGTCCTCATCTATCTCTTGTGAATCTTCGGGTTCGCCCAAGGCATGTACGAACTCGTAAAAGTCGATGCGACCATCACCATCAACATCGACTTCCTTAATCATATCCTCAACTGGAGAATGAAATAAAAAACAAACTTTTGTTTAACAGTGTCATGAAATTTTTGTGTTTCTACCTAAGAAAATATGTGCTCAAGACCATCAATCAGTTGTTATCGATTTCGATAAATTTAGTTTGAAATTATCTTATGGCAGTTAATCTATTTCATATACATATGTAGATATGTGGGTATTTAAACACCTACTGTCTTCTTCATCCAGATCCTCGCCTAAACACTGCAGCACCGCTCTCAAGTCTGAAGCTGTTATGTAGCCACGATTGTGTTTATCAAACACACGGAAAGCGTCACGTAGCTCACGTTCTTCCTGATCAGCCGATGAGAGACCTGATTTGTCTTCATACGTCATGTTGGATAGTATGTCAACGAACTCCTCAAAGCTAACATTACCATCACCTGGAGAGTATACACAAGCAGAAGGAAAACTGCTTTGAGCGACACTTTATGCTCATAAAACGGGGTATTTTCACGTCATTTTCTCACATTCCCCGTGTTTCAAGCTCAAACTTACCATCCACATCGATTTCCTGCAACATTTCTTGCAACTCCTCAACACGTGCGAATTGACCCAATGAACGCATAACGGTGCCCAATTCCTCCTTCGTTATGCAGCCGTCGCCATCTTTGTCGAATAAACGAAATGCTTCGCGGAATTCTAGAAAATATCCATGAAAAGAACGAAAAAATGAAAAGAACGAAAAAAAGGAAAAACAAAAGCAACATTATTGTGACAACAGCTAAGGATTGCGTGAAAAATTCAGTAACACGACAACTGCTGATAGAGACAAATAGCCAGCAGACATGTAGACATGTGGGAATGGAATAATAAGGAATAGCAATAACTGTTTTGTGCACAACTCATGCGGATTACTTTACTACTTTGCGCTAAGCACACACACATTTGCGGAAGCTTTGGCTATAACTAGCAATCAGCAATAGTTCAATCAACTGCTTGTACACAAGCGCCAACTCACCACGCATTTGTCCCTTCGATATGCACGGACGTACGCCACTATCTGTCGACTCGGTGGAAGCGGTGCGTTGCGAGAATTGACGTGTCGTCTTAATGCGACGTTTTACACGCTTAGCGCTCCCTTTCGCCGCACTGGAGGCAGCCTGTTCTTGCAATTCGTGTTTTCTCTGTTGCTGCTTGCTGGGCTGCAAGAATCTTGCGCTGCGCTGCACTGGCGATTCATCATAATAATCATTTTCGCCATCAACGCCATCTTCAAAATCATCCTCTTCATCCGCATCATCATACTCTTCCGTTTCTGCTGGCGCTGGTTGGCTATAAGTATCCTCCAGCGTTAGTGCAGGCACATGCCGACTGCGACGTCGCGTTGATGCGCATTCGGTGTCGGCGCTGTTTGTTTGTTGGTTTTGGTTTTGATTGGTTTGCTGCTGTGTTGTCGTTGCGGCTACGGTTGACGCTGTGGCGTGCATGCTGTAGCTGGTCTGTTGCTCGTGATAAGCTGTGCTTTCAAGCTGCTCTTGCTGCTGTGATTCCGCACTGGCGCCACCAATAGACGTGTCATCCACGCCGACAGTAGTGTTTCTCGTCTAAAGTGAATTTTGGGGTTAAAAAAAAAAATGAGTAGAAAGTTACGCAGTGTTCACACGACGTGCATTATAATTTTAGTTCATGCAGTGTAACTCACCATTAGTTGCCTGAGTTCCCGGGCAAAACTCGAGCCGGCTAAAATATTATTAACAGCCCTGAATAGTTTTTTTCCTTCCAACTTGGCGGCGTTAAGTGATTTTCGGCGTTGGTGCAGAATTTCAAAAATGTCAAAATTAAATTACAACAACACTTCTGCGTGTTTGTTTTGTGCGCACGAATTAAATGCAAATGCACCGCATGACCTGCCTCCTGCCTCCTGCCTCTTGCCTTCTAACGTCAACGCCCACGTGCTCGCCCTCACCCACTGCGGTGTTGCCTTATTTTTTAGTCGCGTGCGTGCATGGTTGCATTCAATTGACAGCATCAATTCGCCTGCACGTATAATAGTGGAATGACATTTAACTGATTGCGCTAATTATCAACATGGATGTGTATGCATACGAGTATGTATGTATGTGTATATGTCCGGCACTCACGCCGCTCGCTCGCTCGGTCGCATAAATTGTATCAGCAGGTCATTCGCATGTCAATTTTCGTTTACGTGCTGAAGCTGTTATTGACATTTGCATTTTTCAATTGAGTTTATGTATCGGTATGTTTGTGTGTAGATGTGTTAGCAGCCTCCTGCAAAAGAGGATTTATAATTAAAGATAATTGGGCGCATTGATTATGCGAAATGAGTGCTGCGCTAAATTGAATTATCAAACTGTCAAATTAAGTGGGGATTTGAAGAAATTTCTCACGGAATTACGGAATTTGAATTCATGAGTATATACCCATGGATTATTCTCAGAATTGGCTTCTATTGGTTGTTTAGTTCAATTATCACGACCATTTGGTGATAGATAGACGATATGCATTCACTTTTCTTGACATACATACTTACGCCCCGAGCACCCAACATTCATTCTGAGCACTATCTTGTAGCCGTAAAAACACACACCCCTCACACCCCAGCGGCAAAGAACGCCCGTCAACAAACACAAGGAAGGTTCCACGTCAAAAGCAGCAATTACAACACACAACCGCACAGTTTTCTACTTGACTTGCACCACTGGTTTCTGAGTGCACTCCTCAATAAGTAGTTATAAGGTATGTGCGGACGGTATTTCAGGCTCGGAAACTCTACCTCCCTCGTAACGTTGCCAACGATCTCAACACGGGTACGTTGGGATAGATACCGAAAGCTGAAGAGGGAAGCAAGACGCATTTGCAGACAATATAAGAAAGTGGCTGAAAATTATAGGGATCGTTTAATTTAAGTACGCGTGTTTGTGACCTCTCCGCCGCGAAAGTCGAGTGGTTAGAGCATAGCGTACTGCCATTCGGAGGTCTCGGGCTCAAATCCTGTTACGACCAACAACCAAAAATTATAGAAATGTAATTTAAAATACCATCAGCCGTTCTGAGGCGGCTTAGTATGAACTGTGAAAACTGGAGATGCCTCCATTTGTTGGAAAAACATCAAGACGCAAAACCCACAAATTGGAGGAGGAGCTCGGCCGAAGATCAAAGTCCTTTTAAACAGCTCCACCGATTTTAATGAAATTTTGTGTATGCAATCATTAAAGCTCCAAAATAGTTAGGCTTATAATTCAATAGAGTTGCCAACTGTTTTCAAATGGTTAATATACCAAAACTATTGCTTTGCTGAACTGATTGTGATGAAAGTGTGTGTGTGTGTGTGTGTTAATAATAATTTAAATTTACAATTCGAGCTTGAGCAAAGAGACTAAAGAAAGGATGACTGAAAAAGCAATTTGGGCAACGTTGCCACTTTTTTAAAAATTTTAGCATGAAAGAATTAAAAAAATTCTTTATAAATAATGAGAATTGAGAGGCTTAATGGTGAAGAAATTTTAAGGCGAGTAGTTGCCACCTGTTGCAATCAATATTCAACTCTAAAGTGGTATTCCAATTTTTTCTAGCTGTCCCAAGATCCACAACTCTTCTTCTTCTTGCCGTAATAAATTCCATAACTATCGAGATCCAATATGAAAATAACTCACTTACCTAAGCTCAATAGCATGAAATGAATCACTATTTAATTTTGTAGTTATGCCAATGATTTTTCTGCACACAAACTTCTACCGCACTTTCACACTCACTTTCCAACACATTAGACTACAAACTTTCCTTTTGCTTTCCTTTTTGGCGCTGTCGGTAAGTTCTTAAGTAGCAGCTGCAAACTCAATTGCTATGCAAATTGTAGCAACAACAGCAACGCAACACACCCACGCACGAGGTTGCAAATGCTTGGAGAGGAGAAAATAAAAATAAAAATAAAAATGAGAATAAAAATAAAAAAGTGAATTCCCAGCAAAGCTTGTAGAGCAGTTAGAAGCAGCAGAGGTCGGGGGTAAGAGCGGAAATAAATGGGTACTTTATTGTTTTTGCGAGAGATAAAATCGACGTCGACGATGAGGAAAGTTTATAGTGAATAATGTCATAAAAGCAACTATGCATGTGAAGCAAAAAAGAAGAGCTGAACAAGTGCAGGAAGGTTAGCTAGCTCGTTGATTCTTGCTTGCATTATATATGCATGTGTGTGTGTGTGTGTGTGTGTGTGCGTGTGAGTTGCAATGAAAATGATATGCACGTACAACAAAGTAATGACAGTGTTGATGACATTTCTGTGGACTCTTCAGCTTACGTTATGCGGGTTCTCTTTGGTTTGCCTGTGACTAAGACTCGGGCATCACGCATGGCCACTTGAGAATTTGGCAAATGAAAACACACTTTGTTGCTAAAAAAAAAAAAAAAAAAAAACTGTGTACATGTTTTTTTTTATATTTTTCAAAACAATTTTGTATGTGCGCAAATTTTAGCTTAGCAGTGGTTTCATTTACATAACGGAGTTCTCTAGCAAAAAATAAGAAAAGAAAAAGCTAAAACTAAATCTTAAACCAACAAGAAAAAAGTTGTATTTTAACCACTCGATGGAAAATCCTAAAGCTAAAAATCATACACCAAAGAGGAGTATGGCTGGAACCCAAAATTAGATAACCGACAAAGATTATAGTAAAGTATAACGAAGAAAGAGTGCTGAAAGCTAGAAACAAGCAAATAAGAAAGCGGAATTAGAAAACAGGTTACCGACATTATAAACGGTATACTAGATAAAAAAATAAAGAAAATGGCAAAAAAGAACACTAGATAACCGGTTGGCGGATGGAATAAAAATCAGATGTGGAATAAAAAAAAATAGGAAAGCGTACTAAAAACTGGAAACAATCAGACTGGATAGTGGAAAGATAAAATAAAATACCAGCTGTAGTAAACGGTATACTAAAACGGAAGAACAGAAAAGCAAAAACGATTCCAGAATTTGGATTTGTATCGAGGTTGGATAAAATCATATATGGGATAAAAAAAAAAACAGGCTATTACTCCATACATAGTCCACAAGAAAACGAGCATAGGAAGCAGAACATAGAAAAGCTGGAAAACAAGAAACCGAAAGTCAGAAAAAGGGCACAGCGATTTACAACTATATAACAAAGAACTAAGGTTGATAAATAAATTATATTTCACAACGATAATCGAATGGTGGCATGAATACTACGTCTTGGTAAAAAAATAGAAACATAATAATTACAAAATGTTAATACACCCTAATATTTTTTATATTTTCGTGAGTGTCTTTTATACTCTCACCAGAAATACCAGAATTATGCGTATGCATCACTGTATGTAGTCATTTCTCCTTTGCTTTATTAGCTTCCGGGCATAAAGCTTGCAAAGTTATATTGCATGCCGGAAAAATAAATATTTTGCTAAGTTGGTCTTTGCTTGAAACTTCTTGTTAATCTAAATGATTTATATTAGTCAAATAATGTTTGCATTTATGCCAAAAATAAAGTGTTATTTCAATTAATAAAAAAAAAAAACATCTATGCTGCTCTGTTTCTTATTTTATTTTATTTTATTTTATTTGATTTTATTTCATTCATATTTTGTTAATTTTTTTACAACTGGAGTATTTTATTTTGTACTTTCTTTCATTTAATTTAATTTAATTATATTTCAGTTTAATTTTTGATCTATTTAAATGCATTTTTTTAGCTTATTTCATTTAATTTCAGTTTCCTTTTATCTTAAAATATTATCTGTGTGATCTAAATCGATAATACTTATCGACTTTGACTACTATTGCATGTTTCAAGTTGTTTACAAATTATTGGAGCAAGCAGACAGTTTGACACAGCAACCTTGCTCAACGTGACTACAAAATCTTGTATTCAATTTCAGTTATCTACTTATACCGATATATAGCTTACTCATTTTCCGAACGGTACAGTTTTACGAAATTCATGGAGTTATAATAATATATATATAATTGTTATTTATTATTACGATTTATTTATTTTTGCGTCATTACAATCTAGAAGTGACTGAAGCAATTTCTTATCTGGTGTACACACGATAGCCTTCCGCCCAACTACTTTTTTCTTTCCATACTTCAAATGCTTTGTATTAATAATTGAGTGAGGAACGAGAAGCTTAAAAAAATGCCAGCATCATGTTCACATTTAATAAGCCTCTTTTGTATTTACCTTTTTTTAGTAAAGCAAAAAATGATAGCCATTTAACAATTACAACGATACACACTCTGCGGCAAGGCAACGCAATACAGTTGGCGGCTTTGTTGTTGCAGCTTACACACAAAAAAAAAATCAAATAGAAAACGAAAACAGAGATGAAATTGGAAACAAGAATAAAATCTAAGATATAAATGAGAATATAACAATAAAAAATTCCCATAAAACAACAAGTGTAGCGGCACAGAGGCCTATATTGTGAAACAAAAAGCATAAAGGGACTAAAGGAATAATGATAATGGCGCTGGTGTTGAGATGGTGGTGCGTATGAATGGTGGCAAACGAAAAAAAACAACACAACAATGACCACGCGCTAAATTCAACTCAAAATAAATACTTGCAATAATAATGATAATGCGTAAAAGAAAAAAATATGTAGCAATAAATTCATGAAAGAAAAACCGCGTAAATTTATGTGGTTTGAGACAGGCAAACATTCAATTTGAACATGTGTTCGTACACAGCCAATTGGTTGGCATTTTGTGATTTTTTTGCTTGACATGATTGTTGATTCAATTGTGATTTCGCTGATTTAATTTAATTTTTCTTTTTCAAGTGAAATAATAAATATACCTGCGCTTGGTTAAATCAACAGTCGGATAGTGAAAGAGTAAAACAATTACAAAACAATTAAGTTGAAAATGTTAAACGAACCAAAAAGTATACAATTTTAAATTCTTTATTAGTTGGAGTCTTTAAATTTCTTACTTAATGTGTAGAGTAGTTGTGTAGCATTTCAGCATTTCAAAAATTAGAAGTGGCATACTATCGGACTGGTTGACTTTTAATAAAATATAAATAAATAATTTTCAGTTATGTCGTCCACTTTTTCTTTTAGCTTGGAAACCTTCACCTTCAAATTAGCAAGAGCAAGAAATGTAGGGAATGTCAGAAATTAGTAGTGTATTATGTAAACTGCGTGAGCTTGGTATGCGACAGGCATGTGCTTATCTATCAGAGATTGTCTAAGGGATCGTTCATTTCAACCTAATCTAAGCCACCTTTTTTATCAAACGTCACTTAAACCAGCATAATGAGCAAAAAGTCATTAGTATCCATGCGATGGAAATGATAAGAAATATTTTGTTACAATCACTTCTAACTTCATACACACGTATCTACGTATATCCAGAGCTATAT